CAAAGGCAGCCAATCACAGAGCTCTGGAGGCGGGAGCTTCGGGAAAACGGCGCTTGTGATTGGATCGTGTGGATAAAGCAGGAAAAGGGGGATTTCTATGGAAACCTAATGGATTGTTTTGATTATTTAGACTGGTAGAACTAGAAAAGGGACACTACATAAAAAGCTGTATAAAAAAATGAATAAGATATTACTTTTTGTTTGTTCCGACAAAAAGTCAAATATAAGTTAAGGACTGCACATTTACTCACATTATCTTATAAGAACCATGTGTGAATCACGCTTTGGACCGAGTGAGGGTCATGGTCTCTTTTTCACTTATCTGTCTTGAACGCATGTAAAACCAGTGATTTTTAATTAAATGTTAACTTTATTTATACATATTCAAAAAATAGTCCATCTGGGTTCTAGTAAAAATCTTGAAAGGTTCAGAAATAATAGACTACAGTACTCAATATTGTTGAACTACTATTGTTTGTTTTATATTTTAAATGGGTCAAAACGAGAAGGTATGAATTGCCACTTTACCAGAAAAGTTACATAAACAGGTGGCTAAGAGGCTCAGGCGATGGTCAGCGTTTATGACAGGTTAAATAACAGTTAAGGTGTCCAGGATTTGTGACTCTCTCTATGCGAGTATAGACCCTTTTCCTTAAAGCATTGGTAATTGAATTTTCCCCACTGTGGGATGAATAAAGGATCTCTAAACTTATCTAAACTAATATCTAAATCAACATTGTAAGTGAAATACAATAGCCTGTGTGAAAAGTTATATACAAGTTAAATGTGTGAATATGAATTTCAAAGAACCAGGCGCCAACATAATCCATATATATTTTATTCTCAATACGGCAAAATACAAAGAATATTCAGGACAGACTCTCATTAGTCACAATAATACTCACTTCACAAGAATGCTTTAAATTACATCACCTAAGTCTGAGTACCTTCAGCCTCATATTGCATCCAATAGATAGAATAGCATCTCTCTATGTTCAGATCTCATAAACCTACAGTAATCCAATTCACACTACTATGGTACATGATAGTGTATGCTGCTGCGGCTGGCCCAGGTACAAATTGCTACAGCTTTTGAGACGTCTGTGTAGAGAAATACCTCTGCTCCAAAAACATCTCTGACCAATTGTTCAAAAAAGGTACACGGTAAAATACGCATTACATTACATCCCCCCCACTGACGAGATGGGACAAAATATGCATTTGATGAACAGCTCCGTATGAAATACAGAGGAGAACGTTTTTGCACTTAAGTTGAGAGACGTTTGGTTATGAGGCGATACTGAAAGAGAGCAGATAAGACAAAACAGACAAGCACAAGAGACTAAAATGAATTGATATACAGTCAGCAGACGTACAATAGTGTCTGCAACAGCTGGAAGAAGAAACGGAGAGGCCCACAAAAAAGGGGAAAATGTGCATAAAGTATCTCACAAAATGTATTTACAAGCTTCTCTCAATTTAATAAAAAGGTCACCTGTAGAAATAGAAATCGCCCTTAAAGAAAATGTTATATATTTACAATTTACACAATTGTTTTAAATAGAAACATGCACACGCGTTAAGCTCCTTCTACTGAATGTCAAAACTTACCCTGGATTCAAACGAGTCAATATTAATTACTACTTTACAGAGAAATCTCATCATGATCATCAGCCCCAACATATACAGTTTATTAAAAGGGCAGCGCAGGGCGGTTCTCAAACTGCGGGGCGAGTACAGTCCATCGTACGCTTGGAGTCAAGTCTTTTAAGACTTTGTAAGATCAAATAGTTTACGAAAATAAAGGCAGCTATGAATGAGTGACGTGAGAAGTTGGACTTGTTTGGTTACATTTTGATTTGATACACAAATATTTTCTTTTGTGTAAAATTGTTTTGTTTAAAGAGCGGGTGCCTGGTTTCCCACTCGTGTAGTTTGAGCAGAATGTGTTGTCCCAGAATAAATATGTTGTGAAACCAGCTTTTGGTTTAATGAAAGGAGTTTACTTCATTGTTTGTCTAATTATAGAGCTCTGGTTTCGGAGAGTCAAAAAAAAGTGCTTTTAAAATTACGAACGTGAATAATTAGCTTTTCACAAATAGTTCCAAAATTTTAAAAATAAAAGAAACCAGCTCTGTTGAAGATTTGAAGACAATTCAGGTACAGGCTCTCAACAAAATTTAGAATCTACAGAGAATTAGTTTCCATTGTGTAAGATTAGGTAAACATATCTTTTAAATGTTTTGCATGCACTTTACATTGAAGTTATGATTATGCACTTTGTGTTTTGGTTGGTGGGCCAAATAATTTTGCAATAGCAGGAAATATCTAGAAAAAGACCAAAATGGCCAATACAGCAGAATGCAATCACTACCATTCAATATGAACTATAATTTCTTTAAGGCCTAAACTTTGGTGCTTTACAAAGTGGTACAAAGACGGCGTACTTGACAAGTTTGAGAACCATCCGTGCCGCCGCGAAAAAGGCCATTCTGAAAAAACCATGACGCGAAAGGGGGCGAAAATAAATAAGCGAGTCCCAAAAAAATAAATTGTTAAAATGCTAATGCTAGATCTGTACATTTGACTGATTAGATAGAATATGCTGTCTTTACAAAGTGAACCAGTGTATGAAGACTGAGCAATCGATGAGAAAGTGGCCTCCAGCTTAAAGTTGAAAACGGCTTGATTTTGCCGTTTCCATTTGGTTATAAAACTATGTACAATATTTACTATATACTAAACCAGTACACAAAGTTGCAAAAGCTAAAAGGCATTGGACAGTTAAAACAGGCTTCTCACGGAAAACAAAACAGACCTTTGTAAAAAATCCTGCATAGATTAAAATAATACCTCTTATTTGGGGGTAAAGAGGACATAACAGTATCCCCCTCCCACAGTAAAAGGCCGGGAGCCAGTGGCGGAAATCAGACTTGGACGAATAATGGAAAATGTGAATGTAGCTTTGTTGTAGTGACTTTTTCTCTGTATACAATGGTTAAATTGGGCACTTTTTTGCCACCAATGTATCAATAAAATAGTGTAAACCCTAGCATTGTGTATATATTAAGAACCTCTTGGCAATAGTAATGCCTGGGATTGAATAAACAAAAGCCAATTATACCATACAGTGGGACAATCTGAGCATAACTAAAGACTTGCAGTGGTAGTAGGAATGTTCCAATTTACGTACTCAAAAATTCTGGATTTGTTTGCAAAACTCACTTAAATGGAAGTCGAAGTTTTGCATGTTTAAAATAAAGCAAAAAGTGCATTCTTTTGTATCCGGAATTTGCATTTCTTGTATTATATATTTTGAGAAGTCCCAAGTGGATTGTCAAATTTGCCTGTTTTAAATGCGACAGGATTTCTATTGATATTGTACCGTGGCATTCCCATATGTAAGCCTTGTGAAAATATTATAATGTGAATAACTGCATTGGATGACAATACTTCTTTCCTGCTGTTTCCTAAAAAAATATATAGCAGAGAAAATGGGAAAAAAATAATAATCACATAACACTGTAAGGAATTGGCTTGAGGAACAATGCAATTTTCTATTTAATTTCAATAAAATTGTGATAAATATGTGCATGTTAGCCTTTCCTAAGGTCTAAAAATACTAAAAGAATTTTAAAATATAATAACATAACTTTAAGACTGGGTCAATAAATTTAAACTGGACTTAAAAACATTATCGTTGCCAGTTTTTTCAGTTTGACTGTCGGAAATCATAAAACCAGAGCAAAAACATTTAAATAAAACAGTGGATTCCTGTAGCTTGAAGAAGGCACAGAAATGATAAGAGAAACCTTCATTTAAAGCACCTTTGGCATTCATGGGAGGTACTTTGGTGAAAACAAAATCTAAAAAGTAAAGTCCTTTTTTTAGTGTTGCCATAATAAATAGTTTCCCAATCCTCCAAAATGGCTTAACGCCAAAAGATGTAACATGGGGTTGAGGTAATTCAATACAACAAATTCATTAGTCAAAGTCTCCCTGTGTGGTGCTTGAAGGTGAGAGGAAAAGAAATGATAATAATTGAAAAGTTGCTCAGTTTTGGCAAAGCTGGTGAAGCGAAATGACACAGTGCTGGAGATTCGTTGGAAAGACTCGAGAAGGAGAGTCTACAGTACTGCTGTTTGTGGGCAGAGATACAGCCATAACCAAGAGAGCTCATACGGTCACTAACAACACCGTGGGAATAAAACCTCTCTCAAAACTTGTGTGGATTTGTGTAAAAAAATATATATATATACATGTGAATTTGTGCAAAATACAACAGTGAAAGAATTTGAATGGGTTTCATTTCTCTTTAGGCAATTCAGAAGACAAGAATTTGGCTGCAATTTTCACTGCAAAAATAAGTTATATTCACAAGGATTTTGCTGCATTGCTCTTGGAATTAATTTAAACTTTTGTAAATGGAGATTTCCAATAGAATAGGCAAATGTAGTGATATTTCAAGGAAATCAGCATTATGTTCACGACACTAAATACATTATCGGGGTATTCTATTTTAAGACTGAATTTAAGATAAAAACACCAACTTTTTAGCAAATTATAAATGGCTGTTACAACCCCGCTCACCCTAAAAATTACCAATAAAAACGACTTCTATAATAAAATATATACTATAGATTTTAAAATGTATCTTTGAGTTAGTTTCAATTGTTGTGTAGTGCTTGTCGCCATGGAGATGTTTTAACTTTAGCCCAATTGCTTCACAGAATTGAAGTCACTAAATATCTTCATGTAGGCAATCACAGACAATCTTAAAAGTTCATTTCATTATTAATTATTAACAAAAAAGGATTGAAAAAAAAGTTCCGAAATTTTAAGCATCCCAGGCAGTGTAAATAAATATTAAAATTAGTTGTAAAATTCACGTTGCTTTTGGTGCGAAGGACTTGGCCGTGGCTGTATCTCTGCTCTAGTGTGTGAGACATGGTGCAGTGGCTGAGGTGGTGGTGGAAGAAGCGGAGAATAAAGTCTTGTTTTCAGGGAATGGGTTTCGCGTCGAGCCGTAGCCAGTGCAGCCCTTGTCGAGTGTAGCGCACCAGTTCAGTCATGCTGCTGGTGTTGAAGATCAGAGGACCCATCATTTTGTCCAGTTCAAAGAAGAACTCTGCGGAGAGCGAGAGACGGGAGTCAGTCAAAAAAAAACAAAACAAGAGGCTATGTATTTGAAACTTGGAAAAAAAGAATATCAAAATCAAAAGTTCATTAATTTCTGATCCAACTTAAAATGTGAGATCAATATTTTATAACACATTCAAAGTGACATATGCCAAGCCGTAGTTTATTATACATTTGAGGATTATGATTATTAATTTTCTGAGATTTTCTAATTTGTAGTTTTTACAAGTTGTATAACAATTGCCATAATTATTGATATAATAACAAAAAGGGAACATTTAGACTCGAGACCTAGATGATGTGTATTTTTAATGTCTGTGGTGCACTCAGGTCTAAATGTATCTTGTCATTTGTTGATCATGTGTGACCCATGCTTTTAGTTTAGTCCATCTCCAAATTCTTCTTTGGTTTAGTCCAGGGGTGCTCACACTTTTTCAGCATGCGAGCTACTTATAAAAGGATCAAGTCAAAATGATCTACCTACTACAAAAATACAAATCATATATTTATTTCAAAAAATATTCTTTATATCTACAATGTATGTTTATGTACATGCAAAACCGCATGAGCCAATATAGCACAACACAACACAATTACCTATGTACATTTTTTGTCATTACCCGAGTTTACTCTTATGACTTGCACTGAATTGAATCGGCCAGGGATGCATAGTCCGGAAAATTGGTGGTAACTCGCTGACAAGTTTGTCGTGGTTTAGCTTTCCTGCACTGAGCGCGGTTGTTTGCGCATGTGCAGTCACCTAAGTGTCAGTAAAACATTACTGAGTAAAACACAGATGTCATTTGACTGTGGTGCCATGTCCATGTGCCATGCCTGTTTTTTTTAAATCCAAATATTTCCCCTCCTCAGTTTATAAAATAATTTGCATCCACACATCTGCGTTATCAATCACATTCGTAACATTCCAAACATGTGCGTCTCTTACGTCCTGTCCTGCGTTGGGGAAAAACACAGAAGTGGGCGGAGCTTTGATGCAGCCGCCGGTAACGGCACTTTTACAGTCATAGAAGACACTCAGAGTAAAGACGTATGTTTACAAGCACTGACCCCGTCCTCAGCCCTGGTTTAGTCCTGGTTTAGTCCTGGTTTAGTCCTGGTTTGGTTGTTTTCGAGCGTGAGTCCCCGCGATCACTTTGCTGCTCTCTGATGTGGAGGATGTTCGCTGCTGCGAGCATCTCACAGTGAACAGTTTTTAAGGTAGTATTTTCCATGCTTCAGTGATCAGAGGAATTTAGGGGGGTACTGTGGCGTGCGAGAACGCAAAACTCCGGTTATCTCGGTCTACACACAAATGCATTAACGGAGTTTTCAAAAATCTCCACTTTGCCCGGAGTTTTTTGTATATATTCGTTCAGAATGTGTATTTTTTTATTTATTTAATGCGATCTACCAATACTACCTTTGCGATCGACTGGTAGATTGCGATCGACGTATTGAGCACCCCTGGTTTAGTCTATGCTCCAAAGCACTGAAAAAACTATCCTGGAGCTCAAGTGGATCAGGAAGCACTTTGAGTTTGCACTTAAAGCTTGGGTACCCAACTTTATTTTTGAAAGAATATAACAAATATGTTTGTCCCAACAGAAGTCTCATAAAAGTAGAATCAGACCAACATCCCAAGTGGGGAAGTTTTCTTGTTTTCACTTATTTGAAAAAGTTGATCCAAAGATGTGACAAAGACCAATAAATGCATTCATTGTAAAACTATAGACCAACTGTTGAGAACTTTGAAATAGTCATATTAGATCTTATTACATAGTATTTTTTTGGTAAAAAGGTTGGTACCCCAGCCTTAAAGGTGTAAACATGCTTCAAAGCAGTGTTTTTTTTATCAATTCAATTAAATAAATAAAAAACTAGCTATTAAGATATATCTAGTAATAAATTAAAATCCCACTGATTTAATCCAATGTTATAAAATACAGGCAAGGATTTTTCCAAACCTTTCTGTTCCTTGGAGAGCTGTTCGGCCTGGTCCCAAACCTCAGTGGCATATAAGAAGTTGGAGGTGACCTGGACGTAGCTTGCTGCCATCTGGTGGATCCTCTGGGGAATGGTGACGGAGGAGGAGTTGCTGCTGCTGCTGCTCACAGACGAGTAGCCGCTGGCCGTGCTGCCGGGGGACAGTTTGGGGGAGACGGGGGAGGGCATGCCCGCTTTGCTGAGGAGGGGAGGATAGAGAGGTTATAGAAATACTAGTGTCAACTGTACAAGACGTTAAAACTCTGATGTTGAATATTGGGGCTGCACAATTAAACGCAGGTTTTCACATTCCTGAGATTCCTGAGACATAAAAGATCAAGTATGGCATTATTCTTAATTGTACCTGTAAATGACATTTAAATTCTCCTAATGCACTTCAACATATCAAATTGTAATCACAAGATAATTAAGAAACAATACTATTAATAATTAAATAACCACTAGGAAAAAATAATGTGCATAGTAGACAACAAAAGGCAACCATCACAAGTTAAAAAAAAAAAATGTATTAGTTCAAATATGGGTTAGTTGCTAACCCAAGTCATCCTGGCCCTATTTAATTCTGGTACTGCATCTGGGATTTTCTGTAATAATAGTGCTGTGCAAACATTTTATTTTATTCTATTTGTCACTATGATTGAGATTTTATTTTAAATTTGTTTAATACTATATCAATTACATTTCGTGTTTGGGAAATCTGGAAGTGTATGGGTAAAAACAACAAACATAGCAGCCCCTACTGGCCATATAAAGATTTGCACAAGACATCAGGTTTACACAATACTGCATTAAAATATAGTAAAACTACTACATATTAGTTCAATATCATTCTATTACAAAACAAAAATGGCAAGCGACTACTCAAATGAGTTTAAATATTATTGTGAGAATGACTTACTTTCCCATTCCAGGAGAGGGCGCCTGGGTGTTACTCAATGAGTTCTGTCAAAAAGAGCAATAAATCCCGAGTTACAAGCCGTCAGGTCTGGATTCCAACGACAGACTACATAAATCAGTTTTATTTCTACTGTACTTCTCAAAGGTTCTTACCTTTAAGTGTTCTGTGAGAGTTTTGGAGTATTTCAGTGCACTGTCTTTCCTAAGCTTGAACAACCGAAGATACAAGAGGGACTGACATCGAAGGCTGTCGACACAAACATGGATGAGATTAAGAACCAATCAAAAGATAAAACCAAAAAGATTTCTATTCAATTCAATGCATTAGAATCAATTATATAGTTGTACAAAATAATGTACCATTGCATTACTGACAGAGCTGTGTGACAACAGTTACAGATTAGATTTTAAAAAGACCAAAAACAAAAAGACAAATGCAGGATTCAAACAATAGATGCATTGTTATAGTTTGACAAAAAAACCAAAAACTTTCCAGCAGAACTCTTACAGTTTTATTGGTGAAACTTGAGACGGGTCTGTTCACTCTACACATGTTCATATTTTGCGATTTTTTTATCTCCATAAAATTGTGCTTTTATTTTTTTCAAACGAGAACAGAATTAATTTTGCAAGTGTCGCAAACAAGACCAAAGTATGAAGAATACCCAAATTATAAGATCACTAAAAGACCAGCTTGCTAAAGCCGAAATCGGAAAAGGCGGCTCCTGATTGGTCAGTTATTAGGGCTCATATCTGGATTTATGGTGAGTGTTACACAAACCGTTTCTGAGCAAGAGTTTTTTACTTTTCAATATAACTCTGTATGAGCCAGAGCATTTCCCTATTGTGCTTCATAACGCTAGGAGGTTAGCAATGTCCATCTATATACAGTCTTTGGTTATGACCCTTCATGATCTCAGCATTTCTATTTTAATATAGAAAATCAATCCGGTCCCTGGCATCTGCAACACAGGCACTTCCTTTCTACGGTCGATGTTCATAATGTTTACTTGCATCACAATTGTGGTTATCATTCCAAGCAAATAGTATCTTTTTATAGTGTTAGAAATATGATCTCAAAAGCACTAGACATAAACTCACCAAAGCACAGCTAGCCTTTTGTCGGCCGAAGTGGCGTCTGGAGCCATGTAGCTTTTTAACTTCATAGTGTATCTGCAGATCGAAAACAGATAGGAGATTATTTATGGAGAAAGGCCGCAGGATGTGGCAGATGATGTAACAGCTGTGTTTTGCTGGCGTCGTAAAAATGCGTCCGTACTTGATCAGCTCCACCGTCTCCGCGTACATAGGGAACGGGGATTTGGCCTCCTGCGCACTTTTCTCCAGCGCATTTCCACATTCAATAAAAGAAACCACTGCGTCCAAGTAATACACGGCTTTCTCAAACCTGTCCAACTGGATGGAAATGGAAAAATGAGTAATCTAATTTCCAACAAGTTCAGGGCGAATCATCTTGAGTTTATATTACATGGGATTGATTGATTCCTACCAGTGCATCTGCGTTGTGCTTGAGTTTCTTTGCTTCTTGTAAGTAGTGATCTGCAGAATGAACCCTTAAGGGCAAAAAGATTAAGATTTAGTTTATGTTTATTTCCTTTAGGTTAACAATGTTTAAAACTGACTTATTTCAATTCATGCTTGCTTGTTTAATTAAGTCTGTATGATTATGTTAGCATTAGTCACTCGCCCTTTATGAACCAATGGCTCTATGTGCTTTCTATCAATACATTTCTTGTGTTTGATTCTCTGATCCATGTTGGCAAATCAACAGTTCTGAGATAACTACTTTAGGCCTACACAAAAATCAAAGTTAGTTTTACAAAGATACATCATATATAGAAGGAAGAGAAATTGCTTGGCGGAAAGTGAGCGGAATATTGTTACAATGCTGAGGCTAACCAATGAAACCTGATATTTGAATGAGTTTCTGTTCCTGCTTACTACTACATGCAGGCTGTTCATTGTTCTTAAACCCAAGAAGTATTCAACATGGTACATTTGTAGATTGTAGTTACTAGAATTAGCACCAAACTTCAATGGCTCTAAAACTGATCATGTCGTCATGTATATCAATTCCAAGGAGTTATGGATTTGGATCACTAAATTTTAAAAACAAATTGGGGTTATAATTATGATTAAGAGTATACAAAAACACAATCTTTTTAACTGTTCTTGTCCAACTGAGATGTATATCCATTGTGATCTTATAGAGAGACATTTTAGGTCCAAGTCCCTGATATCTAGAGTGAATGGAACTATTTTTGATGAGTGTACAATTATCACAGTACATTGATTTGAGTTCATACATGTTCTCTGCATGGCCTGAAAATGGCTTTGTATAAAACTTGTCAAAATTATCAGTAAAATCACAAGGCCACATCTTGTTGGCACCTGGGACCACTTCCTGAATATGGCTGACTTCTAATCCACTGCTTCTGAAAGGCTAATCCAGATATTGGAAAGGCCCCTCACCTGCGAGTCAAAGATAAATCTAATCTGAGTGTTGGGTCTTACCGGTCTTCGAACACGAGTTTGGAGCGTTGGTTTTTGGAGCCGTCTGAGGAGAGCGGAGGCACAGCCAGCTGGTTATCGCTGCTGCTTTTGGAGGATTTGTCCTGGGGAGACGGAGAGCGAGAGGGACAGTTTTAGGGAAAGAAGGGGCGTATGAAGTGATAGATCAAATTGGGGAGGGCCGAGGAGTCTGGAGGGAGAGAGGATTTTGTGCTGGATGGATACTGATTATAGTGACAGTGAAAACAGACACAGCATAGAAAGTATAAAAAGTCCCATGTTAACATAAGGATCCTAATTGATTCATAATTAATAAAATAGAAGAACTAAATTTAAAAGTTACACAACTTTCTGGAAAATCCAAAAAATTAAATGCACACAACCAGACTATGGGTATAAGTGTCCATTGAAATAAACACATTTTATGCCACATTGTGAAAGACTACAGCCACAGAAACAGGAGGCGGCCCCATTTTCAGCAAAATAGTTCTGTTTACTGGAAATCACAAAAAATCAACAACACAAAATCGCATCACATATTTTGCTTTTTTGCAAGGTGCCCTTTATAAGAGACAGAGGACTACTATGTCTCTTATAGATACTACAACAGAAATAAATAAAATATAGTAAATAATATAGTGCTGTAAGTTGCAGTACAGAAATTGTTCCGGGTTCTGGAGCTCTTGTATCACTTCTACTACTACAGCGCCTAAGGACTTAAGTATTATTCTTAAATCTTATTATCGTCTGTAGTCAATATGGTTAGTACTTTTATCATTGTTTTAGACAGCTATAAATACACACACAAACGTCACGGAGCAATTGCCTGCAGCAGTGCTTCTGTCACATTAAGTACAAGCTATGAAATATTTGGCCTTCACAGAGTACTGTTCTTGCTTTCTGACTCAACTGCCCACTTAGGAAATAAAATGCAAAGACGCACATTTGCACACATTTGCAAAAGGAGAAAATGTAAGGCAACGTTTTGGACTAAAGTGGAGCAAATCTGCCCACATTTGTCGAGTGCAATCAAAGCCTCCGTTATGTTGTTGTTTGTGCTAACCTTGCCATCGCGCGTGCTGCGTCCTTTGGGCTCTCCTTTGTGGTGTTTGGAGGTGGAGCTGGTCTTGTTATTGTGGCTCCCCTCTTTGCCGCTACCAGTGCCGCTCGAGAGAGAGGTGGAGGACTGACTTGCGGTCCGCTTTCGACTCGGGTGTTCGGCTTTGGGGGTCCGCTGAAGCCCGGACAGTGACGGCGATGGCACAGGCTCCTCCTTCTTCTCCAGAGACCTGCGTGACCTGACGGGACAAATGATGTTAGCAGAAATGTTTTTATGGATGTCAACAAATTAACTACTTCTACTACTGCTATTGATGGCTTTCAGATGACAGCCTACACTTATATCACAACAAGAATATACAAGTATGTATTATTTAGTGACAGATTTTTTGTTCTCTGCTCAGGAATGATCCAGAATGTTGTGTTCTCCGCCCTGAGTTTAACAGTTCCAGGCGGACATTGTGATCTTTAGTGGTTGGCAGACCTGATTCTCCACTTTTTACAATGACAAAAATGTGACGGTAACTAAATTTAACCAAAGCTCAAACCTTCAAAAGTAATTTGATCTTTTGAATTTTTTCATCTAATTTTCTTGGTTACTTTCACATCAGTTATTTTTCTATTCCTTTGTGCTATAGTGAAGACATGTATTTGCCTTTAGAAAAAATTGGCTTAGAGCACAACCTACTTAGTTGGAATATATTTTTATCCCCTTAAAAACAAACTAAAACGCTACAGGCCAAACCACTTCATTATATAGACTGCGTCACAATAAAAACATGTTACTCTGCACTTTTTCTTCCGGGCACAATACATAACATTTATGAGCCATTACAGCTTCTAAACAAAGACGTACTGTTGTGTCGTCCTCTGGTACATGATGTATAAGACAGAACCACTTTAGACGAATGACTCCACATGATGATTCATCAACGTAAGCAGAATCCACCGGTTAAAAAAGGTAACTATACTTACTCTTCGCTGTTGCTCTTATGGTGGGATGCAGGCTTGTCCTCCGGTTTCCGTCTTTTACTGGTAGGTTTAGAGCCGTCTTCCTCAGTCTACAATTTTAAACAAATACATCACAAATCCATTACCCAAAACACATGAAATTTATGAAAAATCTGTCAAAATATTTACTTTCAACAGCAAATTCAATTAGTGCTTAAAATTATTTTTTTTACTTTTAATCCATTCAGTTTCACAAAACCAGGGCAACTATTTCAAGCAGAGCCAATGAGGTCCAGAATAAAGCAATTCATAATCAAAAAAAGTTTCCAAAACCTTTTCCAAAAGTATTGGAATTTTTTCCATGACGGCATGTATTGTTGATTACCTTGTGTTTCCTTTTGCCTTTGCTGGAGCTCTTCTCGGAATTGTGCCGACTGGTATCTTTTGTGTCTCGTTCTAAACAGTCTCTTTCCACCTTGATGTCTGCAGGCTCTTTGTACGGTCGTCCTGGGATTCGCGATAGCAAACTCAAGTCTGAAACGTACAAAATAAACAAATTGAGGAATATACAAAAATACATACATGTATATATTTATGATGCAGTCTTCAATGGTTCTTAGAAGAAAAACCTCTTTATTGGTTGCAGATTGTGGACCACAACATTGCACTTATCTATACTTACTTATACTCTGTGCCTTCAATGCACTAAAACAGCATAAATGTTCATAAATGATACAGGATGCGAGGAATACAAGCACTTATCTCCCCTCACTTTTCAAAATCAATAATTAAAAAGGTACCGATATGTTTAAGTTTTGTTGAACTAAAATTTCTCTGAAGGGTTATCGATTGCTTGCATTAAATACATGGCATGTCATAGGGCTGGGCGATAAACGATATATATTGCGATAGACACGTGTACGATATCAATAGAAAACAAGGTCGATAGAAAGTTCGATAGTTCAACTTCACTTCTCGACCTATCAGAGCCGGGCAGGAACCGCTTAACATTCGGGGAAATGCAAAAACAACAACCGCACCATGCGTCCATGGATCTATAGATTGTGTTTCAGTGCCGTGTCAATGGTTATGCAAGTCCGTGCGAGGAATAGCATGTGGTAAGCGGGAGAGACAGTGGACACAGAGACTAGGGGTGTGACGATATATCGATTTTTCGATACATCGCAATACTTTCTCCCGCGATTTGATTATCGATATGCATTTGCTAAGTATCGATATCGATTTTGAAAAATAAAAATATTTTGTTTTTGTTTTTTTTTTACTTTTTTTTGAATTGGTATCAATACTTAATATATGGCTACATTACGCATCTCCATTCTATTTATCATGAAATATAGAGTATTTTTTCTTTTATTTATGCCATAAATTGGCATATTGTATATTTCTGACCAATATATCAATAATCGTCATATCGTGATAAAATCGTTATCGTAATATTCTTATTGTGATATTATCGTTATCGTGAGCTTTGTATTGTGTATCGTATCGTATCGTGAGGTACCCTTAGGTTCCCACCCCTAACAGAGACCTGATGCATTCGGCGAAAGCAAGAGATTAACTTTTTCCGGAGCCGTCATGGGGACACAAGACACTCTAAGGCTGAGTTTACACGGAGACAATGTGGCAGTAAAACGGTATAGTTGGATGTCGGTTGCTACCAACCGTTCATACGAAGACTGTGTTCCAGGGGGATGAAAACGTAAGTGTTCAGATCCAGCCTGCAGAGTGGGACAACTCAGATACGCTGCACAGCAGGGAGCTTTTTCACACCCGCGAGAGGGGAATAGGTGTGAAATCCCCCTCTGCTCTGACCCCCACCTCCGCGCTGCTCCCCGCACGTAAATTTGGACATGCGCAGTAGCGGAGAACAAACATCAACAATAATGGCGCCGCCCACACAAACTAGCTACGTGGGCTTCCAGCGCGGGACAGAGGATAATTCTACACCTTCGTTCGTCCAAACGAGACCACGCGAAGCTCTAGGTTCAGTTTCCATGTTCACAGCTGCTGTTAAAATGCAGAATGATGTTGGTACTTTCTGAGGGTCTGGCACAGGAAGTGAGTACACTGTCGAGAGGGGGGCTGGGCACGGGGCTGGGGGTCGTGTGAGTGTTGTAAAGTTTCTCTGCCCACTACTGGCCGGGCGCTAGAACTACATCGTTTTTCAACCTCATGTGAACGCTGAGAAATTTGCATTAGGAGCCTGGTCGTTTCTGTTAATAGCCTGGAAACGTCTGCGCAGCGTCTCAGTATAAACAGGGCCTAAAACAGCCAAAACGGGAGCTAAACCAGGACTAAACCAGGACTAACAATGGGGGACACTGTGCTTGGGAACATATTCCTCGAGATTCCCCCTTGACTATAAACAAGGGGCTGCTAACATGTGAGCCGACACGACAAATGCATTTATTTAGGTTTAAAAAACCAATCAATATATATTGTTATCAACCGATATGAATTACTTATATTGTGATATCGTTTTCAGCCATATCGCCCAGCCCTAGCATGTCACCCCCTCAACCCACAAAGCATTATGGTCTTTTTCAAGATAAGATAAATGTACATTTGGCTTCAATAAGATCACTCAGGCTGTGCAAATAGGCAGGAAAAGTGCAAACCGTTAAAAGTAAAAAAAAAACAAAAAACAAAGGTTAGACATAACAGTACACTATTTACGACCAGTGAATACTTGTAAATAGTATAAAAAACACTGACCTATTTTGACCAGTAACACTTGCTGCTGGGATGTCCTGGAGGGGTATCGCTCCTCCGGGTCACTAAGCGGCGACAGTGGCTCTTTATCCTCCATTGGAGAAAACACGCAGACAGGCGTCTTGATGCTCTCCGTGTATTTTGGAGTTTGGGACGACGACGGGATGCTCTCATTTTCCTCAGAGTCTGAAGAAGAAGAGTCTGTTTTTCGTGGCTTTTTCACCGGCGCTTTTGGCTTGGGTTTTTTGTCCGCCGCACTCGTTGCGGTTGGCCGTGGCGACACTTTAGGCTCTTTTTTGATGGTTGGTTTCCGGGAGCCTTTTGTTGCCGCTTTTGGCCGCAGCGGGACAGGGGCTGGTTCGCTCTCCACTCGTAACCCGCCTTTAGGCTCCACCACCACCGGGAGCTTCTCAGACTTCTTGGGTTGTTTCTTTCCAGTGACTTTTCGACTGTTTGTCCCACCTACAAAATAAATAAATAAAAATGGTTGAGTACAGAGCCAAATTTTACTTGCACAAAAGTTGTATTGTTATGTCTTAGCAATAATGTATTCTATTGTTTAGTTTATCCAGAGTGTGCGTCTTGAGATTGGAAACCAGACAATCTCAAGTGTGGCCCTGTATCTGTTATGGGTGATGTTATTGTGAGAGTTATACATGTACAATTTTAAAGATTGAAGCTCGAACCAATAATGGTAACTAAATAGCTTTTATTAAATCTAATATTTATACTTGCAACAATGAGATGTAAATGTATTATTTGTATATACACTACACTACCATAATTCTGATCATTTAAACAGTGGTGTTCTCTCCAAGTTGTTCTTGAAATGTATGCAAGCAAAAAAGGCCAATACATAGAGCTTCTTTAATGGGTCATGTCATTTGCTAAACACACACTCTGATTTATGCACGCATAACTGCACAAGGGCTTTCCTAAAATTTGTGCATGTGTATGGTTGAATATGGTATACAATACATATAAGGCTCAAATAAGCACTGCTTCTGCCTAATCCTCTTTTGGTTGCAATTCATTATATTCCATATGTTTTGAACTGTATCTTTGTTGGTGTAATGACCAAAATAAAGCAGATCAATCAATCAAGTTTTCTTGATTGAATAATATTAGCTTTAATAGAATAAAGTTGTAGGCAACAAGTAGTCACTATTTTAAACTAAGGCTGAAAGATATAATGTTATTGTATCAATATTGAACGATGGACCTTGAATGCACTACATGCAGCCAACCACAAACTTTATTTCATGCTGCTTGTGGATCCACAGCTGAAGCCGTTCAATGAATCACATAAAGAGGATGAAATATGATTAACCTAAGAAAGAAACATATTGTGTGGATCTGGTGTGAATTTTTCAAACACAGACCTTCACTCTGCGCGGGAGACTTCTGTCGGCCTCTGCCCCCCTCCGGACCCTTCTGCGGGGCCCGGGACTCTCTGCTCGGCGTAGGCGTGGAGGAGTCTTTGGAGCTGCTGCCCTGGCTGCTGTAGCCCCGTCCCGAGCTGTTCTCACGTCCCTCCTTCTTGCATTTAGTGGGAGCATTGCTGTTTTCCACCGGAGACGCGGGCGAGGACTGCTTGGTCTTCTTGAACCAGTTATCTAGCTGCCACTTGTTCGCTCCTTGTTGTTCAGGCTGAAACAGTCAAATCAAAGTTACTGGAATTGCATTAGCTGGTAGTAAATGTACAGCTCGAACGCACAATTGTTTAAAATGACATTCATTATGTATTATTTGCTCTAACCCTAACCCTTTGGCCATAACTCTGACTAACTATTGGTATTTCATGTATTAGAAATATCCTTGTTTCAGCTCCTTATTTTGCGCACTAATTTAAAGCAGGAGTGCCTAGCTTTTTTTGCTTCATACATTTTGTTTATCCTAACAGTCTTGTTTAAGGAACATTTTGTGAACAAACCAGACCACAACATGCTCGTGTTTATCTTATTAGAAAACCCTTTACCTTTTACGGCATGACTCGTTTACACCAAAAAGGCCAAATCACTTCGAGAGCTAGGAACTAGTTTTTTATCATATAGTTATTTTTTTACGGTTTCAAAGTTGGGTAGTCTTTAAGCCAGCACTTCGATCTATAGGCCACAGTAGTAATAAAACATGAGAAAACAAAACTGAATGCATGCCAGCACATACACACAAGCACGCAGTCAGCCGATTCAGCACTGAGCTTTCTGTAAGAGGGGGGACAATGTATTGCTAAAAACAAGTCAAGGCAGGTTTCTGATGAGAAAATAATGTTGAAATTTTCTTAATAGACAATCTTCCTATTATGTTGTATTAGGGCTGGTATGATTATTCTATAGTTAAAATCATACAATTAGAAAAGCATCTTTTGTTTATAATTTAACTACCTCAAATATTTTTTTGAGTTTCAAAATGACTTAAAACTGAAACTGTAGCGCACAGATCAACAAAGTCTGTAAAAACAGTGAGGTCTCAGAAGTTGACTGAGGGGAAGATAAAATCACTGAAATATATGAATCATTCAAGCAAAAAAGTGAGTGTCGTAAAATAGGAACCCGTAAGTTGGTTCTAACCTTTCTCCAAGGTTAGTTTTATCAGTAGACAATTGATTTACATAAATGGAACAATCACAATAGTTAGATATGCTACAATAAGTCATGGATAAAAGCATGTGCATGTGACGGTTTTTATATTTTCTATTGCTGTCTTTCTGGAGGAATTAATGCAGTTTAATACAGTTGTTAAACACATTTGTGTATATTTGCGTATCAGAATGTGGGAAAGTTTAAATGTTAGAGATTTTTGCAAATATGCAATTGATTTTCATTCATTCGAGCAGAAATTTTACATTCAGTATTACAATATTTACCTTCCTTAGTTTACATGACCTTTTGTACATGTTGCTTATTGTGCTTACAGTATCTACTTACACATGCAAATATATAAACATAAATATACAATCAAGCAACAGTATTTTCCTCAGTTTACCCATGTGTTGTATAAATAAAATTTCATTATGTATTTGCGTATATGTGTTTAAGACTTTTGTATAATTGCATGTGTCTTATGCTGTAACTAAATAGAAAAATAACTGCATTGTCCACACACAATAATGGGTAAGCCAGGGCCATGACCCTGCCGTGGTGGCACCGTGTGGTGGTGGCACTGTGTGGCAGTGCTACTTGCCTGAGGGGTCTAGGGGTGTGAATGTGGACGAATGAGTCAATGTAGTCAACCACCTTCTTAAGAGGAACTGGTTTATGGCTATAGACTAAATTAAAGTATATACTTGTTATATACATTGTCAACATATATTTTCTCTAGTAAGTCCAGTTTGGTAGATAACATGTATATTGTGAAGTCATAATTAACAAGCAAGAAAACCATAAATTAAGATTATATGTAGAATATATGGACAAACCTGGATAAAATACAATAATGTTATGTTTTGTGAAAGGTAAAGCTTAAATATGTCATGCTAGTTTGATGGTAACGCACTCACGCACATGTGACATGAGGTGTTTGGTGCTGTACCTCTGGTGAAGCCGGGCGTGGTTGTTCGTTGGTTTCACTGTCGCTGCTGCTGCTTTCGCTCTCGGAGTCTGAACCAGAGCTGCTTTCAGACCCGCTGTGGCTGCTCGAGTCGTCCCTCAGCTGCTCCGTCACTTCGCTGTTAGTGCTGAAAAGTACAGTATAATAATGAGAAACAGTACAAACAGTGATATTGTTTCAAAAAATGTCAACATTCCTGATGGTGGACTCTACTGATGTTCCATGTAATTTCCACAAACACAACACTTTAAACTCGCAAAAATATCTTTGTTTATGTATGCAAACAGGAATGTAATTTTCTCTTGTATTTTAATATATAAAATGTTTAGAAATAATCCAGATTTTAACAGTTGTAATTGCAAACATTTTCGAAGCACTTTTGATTTGTCAGAATATGACCAATCACAGAAAGTAATTGTAAGGATGTCGTATGTAAAATGTAGTGATTTGGTAGAATGCGCTATTTTGAACACAACTTAAAAGTGGGGTGCGTAACTTTCAAACAACAGTGGTGCTATCACTCGTGTTCACATGCACATGAAAGTGAAAATGAGAGGAAAAGGTAGAAAATAGGTTCAAACACAAGTCAAAAGCAAAATAAATATGGACAGTTGATGTTTACCTTGCTGATGTATTTCTTGAGGCATTCTTCCCAGACTCTTCCACGTCACTGTCCTCACTGCTGCTTAGTTTGAGATCCTCCTCCAACGGCCTATCACAGAAATTGTGATGCAACTCAAAACAAAACTCTCATCAAGGCTTTGTCTACCAATCCCTCGTTCACTCCATGCATTCTACCCACATATTGTGTCTGCTTTGAGAAACAAATTATTAAACAAAGTAGAGATTAACCGCATGCTTCCAGTTGGCAGCCTTGGTTTAGTTTGGAGGAATGACGCATGGAAATGAGGTGTGATCCAACCCTTAATACAATAATATCAGTTTACATATGTTTTTTCCACAAAGCACATTCAAATTAGAGTTTTTAGAGCTCCAATGACGTTGTATGCACCTGTGAGTTTGCATGACACGGAGGAACAAAGGACTTACGTGGGTTGGTCTTCACATGTTTTGGACTGGTGGCTGCTGGAGCTTTTGGAGGATCGCTCTGAAATTTGACACGCATGATGAGCAAAGGCCGCCTTTCAATTCATCTAATGTGATTTAATCATACAAGTGTACTTACTGTGACCGCTGGGGAATGGGTGAGAGTCCTAAAACACAAAAAGACTGATTTAGACTTTATTTAGCAAAATTACTCCGGATATTCTTTGAAATCCACAGAGAATGACAAAGATAAGATAAACTTTATTGATCTCATAATGGAGAGATTTATATGTCAGATTGGCATAGATAAGATCACTCAGGATGTGCAAAAAGACAGGAAGTGTGCAAACATGCTAAAAGGTTAAAATATAGTCTTTTGTGCAAGATATATTATGTACATACATTTATATTATATGTACAATTTTACATAGACAATGAGGATTTTGATCTCCTTAATTCATTGGCCTATATGTGAGATTCTATGGAAGGCAGATCAGGAACTATAAAGTACAAATGTTGATTCAACGTGTTTGTTATTTGATCCACAGACTTTCTATTTCAACTTTAGGAATAAAAGAACCTTCAACTTGCAACAATCACGTCTTTGGAGCTCAACAAAAGCAACGCTTTCTGAAGCTGGTGTAAAATACAACTTCAGTTTTTCTCATATAACAATTTAATGAACAAACAAACACAACCTCAGCTAAAGTGGTTACATTTTCAGATTGCTTTCTTATTTTTAATTCTAGGGGGAACTAAATAAGTAAGAGGTCCTACATTGAAGTGCTAAGAGGCAATTGTATCAAAAACCGGTTTATACATTTATAAAACTAACCAACCAACCATCTTACCACACTTCCAATTAATCAAAACAAACCTTGGTGGGGAAAGGGAACTTCGAAGGCTCGGTTTTGCAGGGCGTGTGGATGGCCGTCAATGGAGGAGGCCACGTCTGAGTCATTTCCTGGAAAAAACAACAGAATAACAGTTACCATTATGGAAACAAAACACCACAACAAGATCTAATAACTACAAGATATATTGTACCTTTAGAATTTCATCCACACAGTTGGGGTCACTGGAGCCCTAGAAAAAAAAAAAAAAAAAAAAATAGTATTGTGTTTATATACCTATGCAAGCAGAATGTGTCAAGAATGAACTATAATAGACTTCTAAGCACAATGTCATTTGGGGAATAAAACACAAAAGGAAACTAGGGTTTTTGTCTAAATAGATATAGCCAATGGTGGCATATCATTTGTTATTGACTCGAAATTAAATGAATTGCAACCAATTTCTGTTTCTAATATAAACTAGTTTTTTACCATTCATTTTAAGATAATATTGACAGGTGCAGTGATGAAATGGGAATAAATAGAGACGGATCTAAAATAGAATACTGTGGCTTTCGTACAGAGCTGAATAAGAAGATTAGATCATAGGTTGTAACCAAAGTGACATTGAAAGTAGAATTGATTTTTGTATTACACATTTTGCTCACTGGTGATTCAGGGTCGAGTTAGTGAGCCAGGGTCATGAGAAATGTGCCTAGTATTTTGAGAGTTGTTCCCATATGTAATGTCCATAATAAATAAAATATTGTCATCATCTCAAAAGTTGGGAAAAGAACTGCTAGGATGTGACAAACAGGCATTGTTTATGTATTGGTTCCTGAAAACAAGAGCCATAATTTTAATATGGGAAAAATGCAGGATTAAAACCGGTCTAAACCACGTATACACGGTGAAAGACGCACAAGCCTTTTGAGTAATGTAATAATTACAGCCATTACAAAGAAAACATTATAACACAATAAATATGAAAGGAAATCTGAGCATACGCACCCTCACCTCCATGGGCTGTGATGGGATCTTGAGTTTGGACAGCGAGGCCTTCCCATTGGATTTCATCTCCCCCACCGTGCTGCTGTGGGAGGGGGCCGTGCTGTAGCTCTCGGCCTGTGAGGTCTTGGCTTCTGTGGTCTCCTGTCCGTCCATGGGCCTCACATACGCAGTGGGCTTCTGCTGCATGGAGCTCGGTTTGGACATTACCAACGGATGGAAGGCCTGGCTTGGGTGCTGCCCGCTGGGGAATGTGTGGACCCTACAGGTAAAAGTGGAATGAGTGGAGAGAAATGACCATGCAAAAAGTACAAGAGGCTTTTTAAACTTGTCACCAAGAACACGCTATACCAATTTTGATACCATAGTTATTATTTAAACAGTATTTTTCAGACAAATTGTATAATAATATATTATAAGGCACAAGGGTTTATACAAGTTTAAAGTCAAATTGTGTCTAAAATGTTTATCTAGTTTCAATACTACCGGTTTAGAACCAGGTACAAAGCTATCATTAAGTCCCTCCCATGAAAAACACACACATATTCACACAAACAGGTTTGGTTAAGTCAAATTCAAGACCTAATTATCAATATTTTGGGAAACTTAAATGCCACTATTTCAGATAAACCAAAATAAATTTGATAAATGCTCCTTGTATTTTACCGCATTGAAAGGTTGAGGAAAATCCACAACTCCTCTAGACACAGGCAATGTTGTGTACAATAATACTTTAACTCCACCATCACTTCTTTCCTTTTTCCCATTTCTACCATTTTTCTCAAATGTTATCCTTTGATTTGGCTATATTGTTAAAGATTTAAAGACTCTGGAGTTATCCATTATCAGTAACTGAAAAGTATCAACAAAACCCTATGAATGCACGGCTGGACAGCAATAGGAAAACTGTGTATACACAATTTATCATGCATTTTTGAACCGCTGTATCTATAAGCGGTACAAGTTTTTTTAAACTATTTAACTATTTAAGTAACTGATTATATGTAAATTGCTGCAGACTCCGGGATATCTAGGGGTTGTAAAATGTGATAAATCAGGAATTATGTAAACTAAATCTCTGTTGGATTCACTTTAGCTTTACCTCACTCACAATCTCATACTGAAATTCTAATCAACAGATTGTAGAAGAAACACTAGATCAATCGATTATCAAAAACAGCCATTACTTGCGCGTTTTATTTATTATACCGTTTTAAGTCACACGCTCACCTGGAAGGGGAGTCCCAGCTGGCCTCTCGGTCCCGTGGGGACTTGGGCCTGTAGCCGTGCTTCCCGTGATGCTGTTCCGTGGACAGCGAGCTCCGACTCGACGAGCTTAAACCTCCTTTAGCCGGACTCGACGTGTGCGATTTAGAATGTTCAGAGGCGCTACTGTGTTTGCTCGGCTTCTTCTCCCGCACCTCGGCGCCGTGTCTTTGGCTACTGCTACTACTACTACTACTGCTGCTACTGCTGTTACCGCCCCTTTGGCTGCTGTGCCCGCTAGGCAGTCCTGAGCGTTTTTGGGGTTGGGGAGAAGGTCCAACCCCTGTGGAAACTGGAGTCCATTTGCCTTGTCCGCTGCCGCCTGTACCGCCGCTGCGCTGGTCCGGTCCGAAAAGGCCTGACCCGGACTTGTCCTCGGAGGAAGAGGAGTTGTTGTTTGAGGATTTGGAGAGTTTGGGAAGAGTATCTTGACCGATGGGTTCTTTCATCTCGTCGTAGTTGCCAAGCATGCTCTGGATACGGCTCGAGAGTTTGTCTTCTTTGCTGGACTGCGGGACAAAAGCAAAACGGGAGAATGTTAGATATACAACACTTACGGTTCAACATAAAATCACAGAAGGTTCTAGGTCATCCACGAGAGATTTTCAGAAACGGCTTAATAAAGTAAATCCTTTTTTTTAATACCGAGACTAAGCTTACATTAATATAGGGCTGTGAATTAATTAAATAACTACATGGGCGTCAACTAATTCAGTAATTTTTTTAACCAGATGGGGACGATGAAGATGTTTTGAGACAAAGATGCAGCTATAATTACTGAAGACTCAAATGGAAAGGTTTTTTTTTTTTTCACTCTTCGAGCAGCTTTGATAATTATGGCTCTGTCATTAAATAGAACAGCAAAAATGTCAACTAACTACTACTTCCAAGATGCTTTTAAGCATACTTCATACTTCTGATCTCTTTTACAAGCCAAGAAATTGCTGTACTACCACTTTCATGGTTTAATATTACACAAATCCTGAGCTGAGGCTACAAATAGACAATGTGTTATATAATGGCTTTTTAAAATGTCAACGTGACCTTTTGTGGATGTCAAAAGGGAAGGATTTGGAAAGGAAGATTTTGGACATGGGTCTTTAACAACATTCTCCGCATCGCAAAATGTTCTAAAGCAATCCACTACAGGTAATCATTTGGACCGCCCACCGATCTGTCCTCTCCCCCCTCTACGGTTAATCAATGGTTGTAAAAAGGACAGGGAGTTGCTGTGAAGTTAGTAAATGGTCTGAATCTGTTGAAAGTATCATGTTTCAGTGTTGAAGGAAACACAAACACGTCTTCTGCAGGAATCTTACTGGTCACTTCAGATCACCCCCCCCTCCTGGCTCCTGTTTGTTAAGACTGGCTCGCACTCACGTAGACTCACATGTGATTTTAAAAGCTAGGGTTACGCACAAGAATTCAAAAACAATGATTGTTTTTACAAGCACACAACCTATTCACAAACAAAGTAAGACATCACTTGTAAGACAAGTCATTTTAAAGAAACAATGCAATAGATAAATTGTTATTGTTGTCAAATTAATTCCTTCACTTAGTACTTAAATAATGGCAAAAGATTGTATTAAATCTATGTTAAGTTATTTCTATGTTTTTAAAGTCTAATAGCAATAGTAATCTCTTGAATTTTATTTCAAGACTAAAATGCTATTCATTAACTTTTCCTGTTCCTATTGCAATTACTCAACAGCACACAATGGTTTTAACTAGAAGAACAATTCCGGTCTGCTTTGAAATGTAAAGCAATGCTAATACCTATTTCAAGCATCAAATAACTTTTGGGAAAATTACAAGCACAATTGTTTTGTCTGTTTTTCAACTGTAAGCAGCTGAAAAAATATGCAGCTCAATATTCAACAACAATTGAATATTGAGCTGCTCAACAATTCAATATTGTTTGAAAAGATGACTTGGTGTCCCAAATATTTCCAACTAGATCTAATTGATCTAAACTACAGGGTTGACAAATAGTTACATACAAAAAAACCCTGTAACGGAATTGCAAAATTCAATGTTTTTTTAATTGAAATTCAATAACAGTACTTTCCCACTATTATTTTCCCTACTACTTTTTGCAACATGCCTGTCACTTGTTCAGTCTATTTCACGACAGCAGAAAACCATGAAATTTCAGCTTCTCAGTACTGCATGTGCTCAAACAGGAGTGGCTCTGATTATTTCACTGATACCTAGAGCTTTCAGGCCTGGACAGAAGAGATAGAAAAAGACCTCGACTTTGGCCCATAAAAGTCCTTCAGACCACATATGAATGAGGCCACAGCTGCAGCGAAAGAACAGACAACTTCCACTCAGCGAAGCAGAGAAAATGTTAAACTAAAGCTTACATAAGACTTCAGACATGCGAACAGGGAGACACGGGGGAGATATTAGATTAACTCACGTCAAATTGAAGCTCAGTGATAGAAGAGGGTTATTTAATTGGAAATGCAATCAGTAGGACTGGGATTATAGAGATGACATTATTTTCTTCCCAAATGATCTTGTTGGATTATGTTCAAATCTGCCATTGTTGCAGGTAAAACATACACAATGTCAAAAAGCTAAACAAGAGCAGGAATTTAGTATTTTTAATGTTAGCATATTCAGTTCATTATTAGTTCTGTTTACCAAATTTGTGTAGCCCAGATCTGACTGTTTACAAGCTAACAAGGCTAATGCTATGCTAAAGCAAGAAGAAAGCAGCTAAAAACATGCTTAACCTATGTGACAAACTGCCTAAATCTTGGTTAATAACCAGAATTAACCTTTTACAAGCTTTAAATACAAACAAATAAAACAATGTAAAAACTACTCGCAGCTAGCCAAAATGACTCGCATTAGCGTCAATAAAACTTGCTGAAATTAAATTTAGGTTAGGCAAGTCAACAAGGCAAAACACATTGTATTGTCAAACTGAGCACAATTCTCCACTACTTGAAATTACAGTAAGTGGTTCTTTTAAAGTCCTACTAAATAACACCTGCACCTGACAGCCAAGAGCCAAAACAACTTCATAGAGCTGGCAGGAAGCCTTTTCTTCTGCTATATTTGCTTTATGAGCCGGTTGATAAAGGGGATACAACCACAAAAACAAAGTTATTACAAGCAAAAAGAGTCATCTGTCACACGCTGTTTAATTATATCTTAGGATCTCAACAAAAGGTGTTTTTTTCCCCCAACCAAATACAACTCTGTTCCATTAAATTGCTGCAATGCCGAGAAGAGGCCTATTGTTTTGGTTGTACTGTTTTTGACCTTTGCCTCTGTTGTGGGCCAAACACGGGGCAGCCTTCCTCCTCCTCCTGCAGACCTGTCAGAACGCATTCCTCATTGCAGCTTTGATGGTGACGGGCTGCTGCCGCTAAGGGAAAAAAGAGCCACTTACAGCTGCTCAGATCTGGTTAGTGGCAAAGATTAGCCCAACGCAGAAAACTGGAATCCGCTTATTACAAACAAACTGGTTGGGAAAGAGGAGAGACCATTTTGAGGGCTGGCCTACATCTAGTGTATCCATAAAGACATAAGGAAGTGAGAAAAATGGTTAGGTAGATAAAGAAAAGTCAAAGAGGGTGTAAATGAGAACAGAGGAAAGAAAAAGAAAAGGGAGAAAGACTGAGAGGATGCATTTCTATCTAAGAACAAATACTAGGCATTATTTGTTTTCAGAAGAAGTACATATATAATTGCATATTCGTGGTTGTGAAACATCTAAAATACATCTGGTGTTAGAAGAATTTACATGATGCAAGCTAAAAATATATAAAAATGTAGAGTGTAGAAGAAAAACCGTTGTGAAGAATATCATTTGACTGGAGAAATTCCCAGAATTAATTTTTATTTTTTATTTGTTAAAAGCAGTCCCTGCAGGGATCGACTGGGGATTGGTGATGGGATACAGAGTTTAAGACAGAGACCTATTTCCACAGATTTCTTTCGTAAAATGATTCATCCTTTCCATTCTTAAGCACAAGCATCATTTCGCCGCATCAGGGATAGTACGTTCAGTTCTCATTTCCTGTCACAGTTACGATTCTCCAGAAGTGACTCATCAAAATATTATTAGATTTAATCTTTGTCTATAGTGTTTTATAATAACTGACACAATTGGGGTTTTTTTTTTTTTTTTTATGAAATCAATGAATTTGTTCCATGTCCTATTCCAAATAATTGAATGTGATTAAAATCCACAAACACACCTGGATGAAAACAGTGAAGTCCTAATATATTAAATTATATATAGTATAGTCCTAATATACTAACATTATTAAATTGACGCACATGCCAGATAATGTGCAAATGAATATCCTATTTGCAACTAGTCCAATTTCTCGGGCTGGAATGATACATAGTCTGGATTCTATACTTCGTCTATACGTTTACTTCTTCCTAAATGCAATTTCGCAAATTTGTCATTAGTCCTTTCTTGTTTTGTTTGCATGATTTTGTAGTGTATTTGTCTGTATTTATGTTTACTGTATGATAAAAACAAAATACATGGAATAAATTAAGTAAAATAAAGTCTGATATCAAGTATTGATACTTGATATCAGACAGAACCTCTATAATAATATACAGCATTACGATATAATGTCCAAGCAATTTGATTCCAATACATACAGAAGAGGAGCCTTTTTTACATGTTTTAGTCACAGGACCCAGAGAAAACCTACCAAGACATGGTGAGAGCATGCAAACTCAAACTCCACGTCCAATCTTTTTCTAGATATTCGTATAACACTTGTTATCTTGTGTGAAACTTACCACTTTGTATGGCTCTGGGAAGAGTGGGGAGTTTGCTGGAAACGCCTCTCCGCCGCCCTGCTGGATTTCTTGATTTCTCCTTTCACGTTCTTTCATTCGGAGCACATTCCGGTCCTCACGGTTCATGTTGCTACAAAACAATAACACAAATGAAAAAATCAATTCGTGCCAATGCCACAAAAGCCTGAATTAAGTGAACATACTTGACAGTAAATATGAGGCATCTACTGAAATGTTACTTTCAATATTCTTCTAAACAGCTATTGTTTGACCACAGGCAGAATTTGCCCCATATTTTTGGACATGCTGATCAAAATTGTGAAACTATTTTTTTCCAGCCTAGTAAACTGGCAATTTCAGATTGCCAGTTTACTCTACAGTCCACCCGGCCTAACAAATCTTCTTTTCCTTCAAGAATATACCATAATAATCCTACATTTACACTTTACTTTTGAAACTTAAATGCTCCAAGGAAAAAGACTGGTATACTTCTGTCACTAGTGTAAAGTATTTAGAGTATATACATCATATATGTGGGCTGTGACCTGTGGAGAAAGTCGCTCATAATGAGCTTAGCCAGGTCTGGTCTAGACACAGCAGTGGCCTTTTGCTGCAAATAATCTGGTGCAGATGGCCAAGGGAAATCTGCTGAGACAGAAACACTGGTGCCGTTTTATTGTGTGTAAATCTATCCGGGTCACTGGGAATTATTAACTTGCCTGGCCTGCCAGACACTCCTCCTTTCTGTTCAAAAGAAGAACCGTCTGGACACCTCTTCCTAGCCTATCATTTCACGATTTTACCCACATCGGTCCAATCACGCACCGAGAGGCGGGACTTCCTTTCACCTTTGAGTTGCTAATAACTCCTCGTATCTTTAAGTTTTTGTTACAAAATCGACAGCAGTCGTTTACATTTGCACTAGCTGACATGCCGCCATCCCTTGTTTTGTGTTTACTGAAACGGCTTGGGTGCCGCTAGTTGCTGCGTCATATCCTGTGTGCATCTAATTGGTTGATGCAGTCTGTCAACCACGCCCACCGGGAATTCGCTGAGATCAAGCTCGTTCCCAGACTATACGTCTTTGAAAAAGCATATCGTTTGGCAGGCCAGGCAAATTATTAACAGTATTAGCACATTGCAAGTCAGCGTTGCAACAGAAAATAAAAACAATACTTGTTTGCAAATTATGGGCTCTATGCCAATTGACGCAAACTATCATCATAGTAGAATAACAGGATCATAGACTTTCTTAATCACTCAGTCCAGGAAGTCTGCATATGACCTGTGCTGTTATCAAGATCACAACTAACATCAGTATTCCTCAAGGTAGTGTTGCCTTTGTTTTGTACGGATAGTCACATTTTCTGATTAAGGCAAGGCAAGGCAAGTTTATTTGTATAGCACAATTCATACACAAGGCAACTCAAAGTGCTGAACAAGATAGCATTAAAATCATAAATAATTACAGAACATTAAAACCCTTGGACTCCCCCTTGGACTGCCACCTTAACGTGGTGGGGGAGTTTGAGCACTCGGATGATCCTGGGAGCTATGCTGTCTGGGGCTTCATGCCCCTGGTAGGGCCTCCCATGGCAGACAGGTCTCAAGTGACGAGTCAGACGAAGCGCAGTCCGAAGCCAACCATGGACAGCACGACAACAAAAACCGTGACGTCGCCCGGCATGGCGCAGCCGGGGCCCCACCCTGGAGCCAGGCCTGGGGTCGGGGCTCGCAAGCGAGCGCCTGGTGGCCGGGCCTTAGCCCACGGGGCCCGGCCGGGCTCAGCCCGAAGGGATGACGTGGGCAGTCCCTCCTGTGGGCCCACCACCTGCAGAGGGGTCCGTGGTGGCGTGGTGCAGCGAGGACTGGGCAGCGGTCGAAGGCGGAGACCTCGACGAACCAGTCCACACACCCAACATCTGGCTGTTGGGACGTGGAACGTCACCTCATTGGGGGGGAAGGAGCCCGAGCTTGTGGGGGAGGTTGAGCGATACCGACTAGAGATAGTCGGCCTCACCTCCACACACAGCTTGGACTCTGGAACCCAACTCCTTGAGAGGGGTTGGACGCTCCACTTTTCTGGTGTTTCCCGCGGGGAGAGGAGGCGAGCTGGGGTGGCCATACTCATTGCCCCCCATCTCAGCCGCCACGTGTTGGAGTTCTCCCCGGTGAATGAGAGGGTCGCATCCCTCCGCCTCCGGGTGGGGGACAAGTCTCTCACTGTTGTGACGGCCTACGGGCCTAACGGTAGTGCAGAGTACCCGGCCTTCTTGGAGTCCTTGGGAGGGGTACTGGACAGTGCACCGCCCGGGGACTCCGTTATTCTCCTGGGGGACTTCAACGCCCATGTGGGAAATGCCAGTGACACTTGGAGAGGGGTGATCGGGAAGAGCGGCCCCCCTGATCTGAACCCGAGTGGTGTTCAGTTGTTGGACTTCTGTGCCAGTCACGGCCTGTCCATCACGAACACCATGTTCGAGCACAAGGGTGTCCACCAGTGCACGTGGCACCAGGACACCCTAGGCCGGAGGTCGATGATCGACTTTGTTGTCGTATCATCTGACCTTCGACCGCGTGTCTCGGACACTCGGGTAAAGAGAGGGGCGGAGCTGTCAACCGATCATCACCTGGTCGTGAGTTGGATCCGCTGGCAGGGGAAGAAGCCGGTCAGACCTGGCAGACCCAAGCGTATAGTGAGGGTTTGCTGGGAACGTCTCGCGGAGCCCCCTGTCAGACGGACTTTCAACTCACACCTCCGGGAGAGCTTCTCCCAGGTCCCGGCGGAGGAGGGGGACATCGAGTCCGAATGGACCATGTTCTCTTCCTCTATCGCCAATGCGGCGGCTCGTAGCTGTGGTCGCAAGGTCTCTGGTGCTGGTCCCGGCGGCAATCCCCGAACCCGGTTGGGACACCGGCAGTAAGGGATGCCGTCAGGCTGAAGAAGGAGTCCTATCGAGCAATGATGGTTCGTGGGACTCCTGAGGCAGCTGTCCAGTACCGGCAGGCCAAACGTGCCGCGGCCCGGGCTGTTGCAGAGGCAAAAACCCGGGACTGGGAGGAGTTCGGAGAGTCCATGGAGCATGACTATCGGTCGGCCTCGAAGAGGTTCTGGCAAACCGTCCGGCGCCTCAGGAGGGGGAAGCAGTTCTTTGCCAACACCGTGTATGGTGCGGGTGGAGGGCTGCTGACCTCGACTGAGGATATTGTCGGGCGGTGGAAGGAATACTTCGAGGTTCTCCTCAATCCCCCCGTCACGTCCTCCGTTCAGGAGGCAGAGGCTGAGGATGTTGGGGCGGACACTTCCATCTCCCTGGCCGAGGTCACCAAGGTGGTTGGCAGCCTCCATGGTGGCAAGGCGCCGGGAGTGGATGAGATCCGTCCTGACTATCTAAAGTCTCTGGATGTTGTAGGACTGTCTTGGCTGACACGTCTCTGCAACATCGCGTGGCGATCGGGGGCGGTGCCAATGGAGTGGCAGACCGGGGTGGTGGTCCCTCTCTACAAGAAGGGGGACCGGAGGGTGTGTTCCAATTATCGTGGGATCACACTCCTCAGCCTCCCCGGTAAGGTCTACTCCAAGGTACTGGAGAGGAGGCTACGCCCGATGGTCGAATCTCGGATTCAGGAGGAGCAGTGTGGTTTTCGTCCCGGTCGCGGAACACTGGACCAGCTCTATACTCTCCATCGGATACTCGAGGGTTCATGGGAGTTCGCCCAACCTGTCCACATGTGCTTTGTGGATTTGGAGAAGGCGTTCGGCCGTGTTCCCCGGGGTGTCCTTTGGGGGGTCCTCCGGGAGTACGGGGTCCGGGGTCCTCTGCTGAGGGCCGTCTGGTCCCTGTATGACCGGAGCCAGAGCTGTGTTCGCATTGCCGGCAGTAAGTCAGACCTGTTCCCGGTGCATGTTGGCCTCCGCCAAGGCTGCCCTTTGTCACCGGTTCTGTTCACTGTATTTATGGACAGAATTTCTAGGCGCAGCCAGGGGCCGGAGGGGGTCCGGTTCGGGAACCACAGGATTTCATCTCTACTTTTTGCGGATGATGTCGTCCTGTTGGCTCCAACGAACCAGGACCTGCAGCATGCACTGGGACGGTTTGCAGCCGAGTGCGAAGCGGCTGGGATGAGAATCAGCACCTCCAAATCCGAGGCCATGGTGCTCGACCGGAAAAAGGTGCCTTGCCCTCTCCAGGTGGGTGGAGAGGTCCTTCCTCAAGTGGAGGAGTTCAAGTATCTCGGGGTCTTGTTCACGAGTGAGGGAAGAATGGAGCGTGAGATTGACAGGCGGATCGGTGCAGCGTGCGCAGTGATGCGGTCTCTGTATCGGACCGTTGTGGTAAAGAGGGAGCTGAGCCGAAAGGCGAAGCTCTCGATTTACCGGTCAATCTTCGTTCCCTCCCTCACCTATGGTCATGAGCTTTGGGTAATGACCGAAAGAACGAGATCGCGGATACAAGCGGTCGAAATGAGCTTCCTCCGCAGAGTGGCTGGGCGCTCCCTTAGAGATAGGGTGAGGAGCTCAGTCACACGGGAGGAGCTCGGAGTAGAGCCGCTGCTTCTCCACGTCGAGAGGAACCAGTTGAGGTGGCTCGGGCATCTGTTCCGGATGCCTCCTGGACGCCTCCCTGGGGAGGTGTCCCGGGCACGTCCCACCGGGAGGAGGCCCCGGGGAAGACCCAGGACACGCTGGAGAGACTATGTCTCTCAGCTGGCTTGGGAACGCCTTGGGGTCCCCCCGGACGAGCTGGAGGAGGTGTGTGTGGATAGGGAAGTCTGGGCGTCTCTGCTTAGACTGCTGCCCCCGCGACCCGGCAACGGATAAAGCGGAAGAAAATGGATGGAAAAATGGATGGAACATTAAAACGAAAGATAAAAATATAAAATCCCTCAGTTGTATGCACAGCTAAACAGCACCGTTTTTAACCTGGTTTTAAACATTGTCAGAGAGGAGGCCTGTCTCACATTAATGAGCCTGCTCAAGGGGTTTGATTAATGCACTGGCATGAAGACTCATCTCATACTAAATACAACAAAGACAAAGGAGATGACAATTGACTTTCGAGTCCTAATACTGCCCCAATGTGGATGCGGTGATTGATACCGTCTCTGAGCACAAGTATCTGGGCGTAG